ATGTTTTTTATTTTGAAACAAATTATGCTACTTTCTCCACAAAACATATTTGCTGAATTACTCTCACAAAGATTTGGTTCTTCCTTTAAAAGCTGATGTAAAAATATGATTTTAGTAACTTTGAAAACTAGATGGGCATTCAGTAGAGCCCATATCCCAACCATGCAGCGTTGATCACATTCGGCTCTCAAAGAATACGAAAATGTGTCCGTATATTGCTTGGAGACGGCTTGAATGGGTAATGAAGAAAAACTTTAATATAAGTTTAACCGTCCATCTTTATCAACGGAGACGGACCATTTTTTGGCAGGACAATGAGGAATAATATTCTAAATATGTCCACCAAGTTTAATCAAAATCCAATCGTTTTTAACTGAGTTATAGAGCAAACATAGTGTGTTTGTTTGTTTTGTATTCCGCACAAAGCTACACGAGGGTTATCTGCACTAGCTCTCCTTAATTTAGCAGTATAATACGAGAGGGAAGGCAGCTAGTCATCGCCACCCACCGCCAACTCTTGGGCTACACTTTTACCAACGAATAGTGGGATTGACCGTAACATTATAATGCCCCACGTCTGAAAGGGCGAGCATGTTTGGTGTGACGAGCATTCGAATTCGCGACCCTCCGATTGCGAGTAACATAATGTGCAAAATCGGCCCACATGTAAACAGATAGTGATTTTTTGAACTTTTGTGACCTTGCTGTGGCCTTGACCTTTGATTTTGACCCTTCAAAACTAAAACAATGTCTAAGTTCGGCCATAATCTAAATGTATACCAACTTTCGTTTAAATCCATTCAGTCTTTTTTGAGAAATCTTGCTGACAAGCATACACACCTCCTTTCTATCACCTAACCAGCAAACAATGGACACAGGCAAACAGGCTGAGGTTAGGCCACGGCAGAACAACGGCCAACCTGCATCGATGGGGTTATCGTAAATCCCCTACATGCCCAGCATGTCAGGAATCGCCACAAGACACAGACCATCTCGTGTTGCACTTTCCGGTCACTGCGGTACCGGGGGATATGGTACAATCCATGAAGCGGGCGAGGCATTCATTGACTTTGTCATGATTACGAATTTGGAAGTGTGAGAAACACAATGCTCAACTACTACTACAGGAGTGAAACATAACTTCCGTCCACCTTCGGTGGCGGAGATAAGAACAGTTTCATGTTTTATAACACTTCCAAGTTCTTAGGACATCTGACCACTGTGGCTCGGAATAAATGTGGAGCGAAATTATATAGGAGCTCTAACTTTCCACCCACCCCTAAGGGAACCCGTGTATTTCGCGAAAACACTTTTACAGGGATTCCCCGAAAGCGGACCCCAAATCAGGCATAGATTTACAATTAAGCACGTAAATAAGTAGGCCTACTAATTACTGTTCGTTACTTGATTACATAAATTAAATATGCATTATAGCGGTAATGATAATTAAACTGAAAAAGTGCAAAATAGTAGTTTAAGCATTAAATTTGCAATATAGTGGTCCTGTAAATGTGGGCCATAGGCCCATGAGTTTGTTAGTAGGAAACATAATGTGTGGTAGATTCATTCACGTGAATATATATAAGAATACTGCTCATGTTTTATGGATGGAAGTTTGGTTTTTCATTATGGCTGTGTGTGTGGGGGGGGGAGGTGGGGGATACTATAAACACTTTGAATAAAGGGTGGAAGTAGGCTTTTTATTATTCTAGTGGCCTTATTAAGATGCAAAAACCATGACCACAACTGTCCATGGACCAAGAGGGCATAGATGGATTCAGATCATTTTGGTTAAAAGCAGCTGGGTCGTAGACCATAATTTATTATCGGTTGTAAGCACATTTGTTTTTGCACCAGCGTTCTTGGTGAATAATTGAAGAGATGGAGAAACCCGACTCTAATTGGTTGCTGCTACGCAGTTATTCATATTATACTGTTGCGTCAGCGTGGTCACGTGACTAGTATCACGCCACTTCTTTCTCGAACCTTCCTGAGATTACTAGATTG